CTTCATCAGATGAAGGGTCTAGGCCCGAAACGTCAGCCTTCCTGCTCCTATGATGCTGCTTGGCCTGCTGTGTTCATCCAGCTCCACACCTTGTTAGTTCATTTCAAAGTTCAATTTCAGAAAATTACCACAGCAATCAGTTCAAATGAAGAGATAAAATAAACAGAATCCTGGAGAAACTCAGTCAAATCCAGTATGACTCTTCCAGTTCTGAAGACGTCATATTGGATTTGAAGCATTAACCCTTTCTCTCTCCACAGATGCTGCCAGACCTGCTGTGTTTCTTCAGCAGCCAGTATTTGTTTCAGATTTCCAGCATCTCCAGTATTTAGCTTTTATTGGATAAACAGATGTTAGGTTAACTACTTTGGCACGGCAACACAAGGTGCCAAGTGGCTTATTCTTGCTCTTAAATCCCACATTTCACTGTTCGAGCTGCCAATATTTTTGCAAGATATCAAACTGGGCCTGGATTCATCAGTTTCCTCATTACTGTCTTCTGCCAAGCTACCACTGCAGCTGTGCTGCACACATTGCAAAAGTGCTGTTTACTTTAAAAAATCCCTTCATCATCATACATTATAGATGTCACATATAGCAAAATGTTTTATTTTTGAATAAGATATTTTGTGATGGCTTGTCACCAAGTTAATTAGTTTTTTTTTAAGAAAGGCCAAAGGTTCTGTGGAAAGTCCTGAATAGCATTATCCTATACAACTTTGTGTAGAAGAGGGAATAGAAAAAGGAATATAGCTTCTGCCATCAGCACAACTGAAAATACTTCACAATTGTCTACAACAGCACAGCAAGTAGAAAAGAAAGATCAGTGTTTGCGAGTAAACTATTAACAACCATGCGAGACTGTTATGCTCAATGTAAAGTGCGATGATATCAAAACAAGCGTTGAGGGTACAAAAGGTCATTGCTACTGTTATAACATTGGCAGTAATTGGTGCACAGCAATTACAAGAGTTGTGCTTTGTTTTGTAATGGTCTAATTTCAAATGTACTATATTAAATAAAAACGAAAAAAAAACAAATGCCTACCATTACATGGGAAAATAGTTTCATTAGAAGAGCAAAGACAGTTTAATACAGTCATGTTATGGGTTTGTAGAATCATCTCAAACAGTTGTGCAATTGATAACCATTTGCTTAAACAGCTATAATTAGTATACAGTTTTCCATAACTGTTCCAGTATTATAAATTTGAGTTTGCTGAAAAAGGATATTTTATTGAAGCTTTACATGTTGCACTAATCATGACAATTTGCAAGCAAGTACAATGTAAAGGGAAAACAACATTTTTACAGTTTGTATACAATAAGTGATTTTCCCTTTACGTTGGTATTTCTTCCAACTTGTTCTAACGAGCGGAACATGAAAAGCATCAAAATATTTTTTTTTGTGATGCACCTGATAGATTGAGATGTAAATATATTAAAACAAGCAACACACATGAAATGACAAACATGATACAAGTTATGGGCTACACAAAAGCAATTGCACTTCTTGAATTGGTCCATTCTCTTTACTAAATGGGATACTGTAATTTCATAATAACATAAGGAAAAAAATTGTAATAGAAATGTCCCAAATAGTTCAATCATTTAAAAATCCTACCTTGACTAGGATTTAAAGAGCCAAACATAACAGGTGGGTTTTCATGGTAATATTTTAAACTATGGTTCAGCATATGTCAGTAATGTTGGTGTAATTCTTAAATCCATTAGACTTTTGTTTGAATTGGTATCAGTAACAACAGTGTAATTCATTTCTGGTGCTTGTCTTTGTATTTTCAATGATTGACAGTTATTACATTTGAAAATGCTGGAGATAATTAACATTACAAAATCATTTCCCCTCAGGAAAAATATGGTGGTCCAGTGCTTTCCTCTAACCAAATTTCCACAAAATATTACATTCCATACATTATGATGTGTTAATATTCAAGTTTTAGCTGTCATAATGGCTGATCCAATTTACATAAACAAGAAAAGGTACAGATTTAATGTTTAGTCTGCACTGAGTTAGTCAGCCTTAGGAAGGTATCCTCCAGCTTTGGGTAGGAACACAAAAACTATTTGTTCCTTCTCCAAATCATCCTCCAGGATTGCTTCTAACAGTCTTAATGGGATGTAGGAACAAGAAATAAGGTGGTTTCAGGGGTGATGACACCAAATCCTGAAAGAATAGTATGTTGATGCTTATAATCAGGCCTCTTTGGGCAAGAGAACATTCCATCTGAGAGAACATTTCTCAGGATAAATCACTACGTGCAGAAATGGATGTGGAACAGTTCAGAAAGAACAACAACTATATATAGGGACGATTTCTAATTACTATGTATAGAAAACTCAAAAATATTTTATCAAATAAAATGCTTTTTATCAAGTTAGGACTCTGCTTCATAACACAGACTAATCCTCCCTGATGTCTTGAAACAAAAATTTACAAAGGCAGACCTGAAGCTTAAGCTGAAATCAGAACAAAAACAACTACTGTACAATAAGATGAACCATGTGGTTCAATCAGTAACAGATGTAAAATGAGAGGAAAACAAAGTGTTTGAGCCAGTTGCATAAATTCTACACAATTGATGAAATACATCCTGTGACAGTGGAAACAGAGGTCAGCAATATAGCCAACATAGGGTTATTTAAAAGGGCTTAGTTGATCACATGCAGACCTTATAAGAAAATGCACAAATTTCATATATTCTGATCACCTCTATTCTCAAATGTAAATTTACTCAATTAAAAACTCATCTAGCACCAATATGTCATCTGAAGCATGGGATCAAGACCAAATAGTTAAAAACAAATCAAATACAGAATCTACATTTTGTTAACTTTCTAATAAACTATTAATACCACCTTCATCATAAGCAGCAAAATGACTAATTCCGTGCATCAAATAAGCATTTGGCAAAGCTACCTCAAAGCACAGCAAAGTTGGTGGTGATAAATGTTCAATATTCTAGGTATTGTAGTGTTACTTTTACTTAGATAATCCGGAGCGTAAAAGCTTTCTACATTGGTGTTTTATTTTAAATATCAACCTGCCATGCTGAAGCCCAGAAACCACCTCAAGCTTTGGTCAATAAGGTAAGAATTGCAGGGATCTTCTTCTCCGTAGATTACATCTGCAAACCGTCAGCTCTAGTTCATGGCTAATGTTCACATCAAATTAATTAAAATTGCAACAGTTCAAGTAGCTGATGCTTCTGCCTTCACCAGGCAAAGGAGATGCTACATTATTAACCAGTGTGTGCTGCTTTGCCTCTCCTATCAACTGGCACGCAAGGTCAAGGAACAGTTTTTCAACATTGTCCGATTCTTTCGCTGATGTTTCCAAGTAATGCATATTCTGAGATTCTGAAAATTCTTCAGCCCTTTCCCTGGATACTTCTCGTTTCTCTGCTAAATCAATCTTGTTGCCTGTGAAATGGGAAAGAGGTATGTGTTAGAACGTAGCTAAAGTGAAACGTCATGTTAGACTAGGAGATGATTAACACAGACCCAGTGGCAGACATTTCAGCCGTTCTTCACAATACTAAGTATGTTCCTTCTATGGAGGTAAAATTGTTAAAAGGAGGAGCCACAAGTAAAAAAAGGCTAGGGAAAGTATCAAACTTCAGGAAAAAAAGCATAACTGCACAAAGATTAGTGGCAGGTCAAATGATTGCTGTTCTTTGCATTCTGACTAAAAAAAACGATTAAATAGCTAATCAGGAAAAAAGAAATTAGAGAATAAGGGGACGCTAGTTAGAAATAAAAAAAGTGAATAGCAAGAGTTTCTACAGTTACTTAAAAAGTAGCCACCTAGAGAGTTTAGAACAGAGTTAATGGTAGATAATAAAAGGAAACTAATGAAAAAAATTGTTTCCATTTTCCACACAAAAGAAACAAAATACATTATAGTACCAGCTGTAAAGCAAGAGGTGGAATGGAGAGAGGAACTTTGGTGAAATTACAAGCTCCAGGGAAGCAGAACTGAGCAAACTGATGGAATTTGGGGGTTGTTAAGTCTCTGGGTGCAGAGAGACTTCATCTTAAGCTCTTGAAAGAGGTGGCTAAATGATGTGGTGGGTGCACTGGTGTTAATTTTCCAAAGTTCCCTAGAATCAGGGAAGGTTCCAGCACACTGGAAAGTAGCAAACATAACCTGTCTATTAAAAAAAAAACGGGGCAAGAAACAGGAAACTATATGCCAGTTAGCTGATATGTCTTGGGGAAGGTGTTAGAATCGAATTGTTAAATAGTTATAGCTGCATTCTTAAAGTAAACAGGAAGCATCAGTTTGGTTTTGAGAAGGGAAAAACACATTTATCCAATTTATTGGACATCTTTGAATGATTTTAAATGTTAGGGGTAGACATCCTGTACTTAAATTTCCACGTGGGTAGGGATTTGATGATGTATCACAAAGGTTATCAAGGAATAGAAAAGTCATGGTTCAAGGGTCAACGTGTTAGCATTATTAGAAGATTGGTTTTGATTTGCTGAAAACAGTATACATGAACAGGACTGTGTCAATTGACAGGATGTGAAGAGTGGAGTCCGGCAAGGATCTGTGCTGATGCCTCAGCACTTTTTTTAAAAAACTAAGTTTGAGGTGAGAAAATACATGGTAGCTGAATTTGCAGGTATTACAAATATATGTGGGAAAGTATGCTCTGTAGAAGAAATGAGGAACTTGCAGAACAATATAAATAGGTTGAGTGAGTGGGCAAAAATCTGGCAGATGAAGTGCAATGCAGGACACTGAAGTTGCTCATTTTGGCAGGGAAAACAAGAGAGCACAATCTGACTTAAATGAAGAACGACTACATAAATCCAAGATGCAGAGGGATCAAGGTGTTCTAATGCAGCAGTCACAAAATATTAGTATGCTGTACAGCACATAACCAAGAACTAGGGAGTACAGACTCAGAATTACAGCCAGTCTGTTCAAGGGTGATGTTAGGAAGCACTTCAATCAGATGTTTGGAAAGTTCTTCCACAAACAGCAGCGGATGCTGGATCAGTTGTTCATTTTAAATCTGTAATAGATAATTTTGTTTAGGAAAGGTATTAAGGGAATATGAGCCAAAAACCTTTATATTGAGCTACGATCAACCATGATTTTACTGACTTGTGGAACAGGCTTGAGTGGCTGAAAGGCCTTCTCTTGTTCTGATGTTTCAATGATGCTATTTAATTATGAGAGGAATTGAACATAAAAGCAATGATGCTTTTCTTCAGTTATACAGACTATTGGTAAGACCACATCTTAAATATTGTGAGCAGTTCTGACCTTCTTAAAGGAAGGATGCAAGTACTTTGGAGGTATTTTAATAGATTGATACCTGGAATGAGCAAACTGTCTCATGGAGGGCAGACTTTATAGGCTTGGCTTGTTCTCAGTGAAGTTCAGAAAAAAAGGGAGGGGTGACTTGATTGAAGTATACAAGATCTGGAATTGTCAAGTCATGGGCATGGACAGGATATTTCCTCTGGTGGACGACTCCATAAATAAGGGTAATGTTGTAAAATTAGAGGCTGTCATTTTAGAAGTGAGATGAGAAATAGGCAAGGGAATCAAAAATTATTGTAGTAGACGGAAATGTAAAATGTGAAACAGAAGCGATCAGCCATGATCATGATTGGTGGACTGACTCGAAAGGCCAAATAGCCTATATCTACAAGTACACATGTACCAATTGGGGAAAAATGACCACAGTGCTGCTTGTACACTAATTTCATGCAGTACGCTAATCAGTGTATTCTATTAAATTAGCTATATCTGTCTTATTGAAGTTCTTGTGAAAGCCCAGTTTCAAATCCCACCTACTCCAGAAGTTTTCCATAACCTCTGAACAGGTTATTTGAAAATATATATATGTCTTCTTTACCCCAATTTTATTTGCCCACGTTTCTCTGTCATCTCAGCTTCTTAAATCGTTTTCACAAATAATCAGATCAAAGTGAGGAAGTCAACAGATTTGCTCAATATCATCTTGTTAAACATATTTTTTGGATATAAAAGCTACATTAACATTAAGTAGAAATGCTACACAAACCCACCTTCAATCTCAGAATCTGAAGCAATTGTTTAGATTAAGTGTTTGCTATGTTTTGAACAGAGAACGTTACAATCTTTCCACAAGTAGAAATTCCCACTGCCAGAGTTCTTTCCCTTTATGTTTCAATAAATGTGTCTACATTGGACTGTGTAGAGCTGACAATAACACTATGTTAAGGTGTTCTTGCTGGCAGCACAGGTCATGTGCCAATGACATGGTACAAATGTTTTCTGTGGTGCTTCCAGCCAACACATCAATAAGCAAAATTTTACAAAAATACTAAGATCATAGAAGTCTATTCCTCTTTTATAAGAGAAGACAAAATCTCAAGCAATAAACAATTGATTCACTCCACAGCCCACACCATCCCACCTCACCCAACCCTAGCAAAGCAGGAGGCAAAGGTAACAAATGCAAATGTAGTTACACAAGTTAGCCAATTTATTTGCAGCCAGAGATTAACAAAATGTATGTCACAACAGGAAATTGCAAATTCCTGGAGAACAAGAGGTAAAGGGAACATGAGGCTTGGGGCAGCACGGTGGCATAATGGTTAGCACTGCTACTTCACAGCACCAGGGGCCCAGGGTTGATTCCAACTTCAGACGACTGTATGGAGTTTGCACATTCTCCCCATTTTATGGGTGGGTTTCCACCAGGCGCTCTGGTTTCCTCCCACCGTCCAAAAGATGTCAAAGATGTGCAGTTTAAGTGGATTAGTCATGGTAAATGCGGGGTTACAGGGATAGCAGAGGTGCGGATCTGGGTGGGATGCCCTTTGAAATGTCCATGCAGAATCAATGGTCCAAGTGGTCTCTTAGACTCCCTACAGTGTATATGATCAAGAAAACTTAAAAGGAGCCATCAACTGGAGTAGGAGTAAACTGTCGTCCACTCCGGATATTTGAAGACCATATGAAAAAGAGGAGTAGGCCATTCAGCCTATCAATTCTGCTTCACTCTTCAAGGGGATCATGGCTGAGCCAACTGTCACCCTAAGCCCACCTTCCTGCCTGCCTTCTATGACGATCAATTCCCCTTCCTATAGATCAATAATATGTGTAAGTTAATCATGGATATATTCAATGATCCAATAACCTCAACATTCAAATCACATTGGTTATCAGGGATAGGTGTGGAGTCAAAGCCAGAACCAGATCAGCAATGATCTTATTGAATGAAGCAAAACTCATGCTCCTAAAATTTGTATGCCCCAAACTCCACTGCCATGAATTTCAAAGACTAAGGATTCTCAGAATAAATTTCTCTTAATATCAATCTTAAATTAGAAACACATTTTTAAACTATGTCCTCATAACATTATATCTCCACATCACCATCTATTCAACCTCAGCAAGAAATGATGAGCAAATTATTTCTCATGAGTTTAAAGCATATGCCAAAAATATTATGTTTGATCAGATCTCAAACAGAGTTCTTAACCTTCCTGGAAAGGCCAAGAGGTATTGCATAGTTTATGACTAGTCACATGTAGACCAGTGGATTATTGTTGGTTATGACAAAAATCTACATTTTTTTTGCAGTAGTATCACTTTGGTCAGTAATGCATTTTCAATGAGGCAGTATTCATTACTGGTGCAAATCAAAAACTTTTCCTATTTCTGATTTCCTCCCTATGAATCATTCCCCCAGTTTTTAAATTCCCATCTTGTACTGCATGCTCTATTTTCCCAGGCATGGCCCTGGTTCTTGAAACCTAACGTGCAACAGACGCTGGTGCAAAAATCGACCATTAAAAGTAAATGCAATAACATTCGTAGAATTTGAGATACACCATGCTGCCTTTAATTGAACCACCTAATTCTGGCATCACCATTGGCCAGAAGCTGTATTGTTATGGGAATCAGACTACCTCCTAGTGGTTTTAGACATGCATCATGGAGTTCCTTCATTGTTACTGGGTTAGAATCATGAATTCTCTTTGAGAATACCATTGATTCAAAAGAAAACATGTACCTTTAAGGCAACAAAATGTACTTTGTTTGTATCAAAAGAACAAATTAGCAAACAAACCAAGGCTTTCAGTTTTCACTTATTAAAATGGTGATGAATTCCAACATTGCTCTTTCTACTTACCAACTAAGACAGTGGTTACTTTATTGCTAGCATACTGTTCAATCTCCCTTAGCCATTCAGGAAGGCAGCGAAAAGATTCTTCACATGTTATATCATAGGTCAATATTAAGGCATTCGCACTTCGGTAATAGCTCTGTGTGATGGATCGAAACCGTTCTTGTCCGGCTGTATCCCAAATTTGGAGCTATGGGAAAAAGGAAAAAAGAACATTAAAAAAATGATTCGCTGGACCTCATTTTCACCTAACCATCCGAGTGGAGCTGATGGGATTGGATCGACTAGTTGTTTCATTTCCCACTAGATTTGATATGGGACGTAACTTGATTCATTCAGTTTCTTCCAGAGTAAGAAAGGCTAAAATTACCCCCATTGTTCTTCCATTTTCTGATGTAGAAATTCATAACAAGATTTTTTTTTTTTTTAAAAACATGAACTCTTATCCCTCCCCCCTCATTCCCCCAGAAGTACTATGCCTTCCGAGCATTGGACTAGTGAAGACTCCTTACTTCTCTCCACTACTGCAGTGTTATCACCACCTCCAACACCAAGGGCTCTTATCTTATGACCTAAAATTTTGTGAGGTACCTTGTTGAGTGCCTTCTCAAAGTCCAAACACCACACATCCTGTTAATCTATACCTCAAAAATGAAACAGATGTTGGAAAGATGTGACTATGTTGTGGCATGGAATATAACACCCACAAGAATCTGTTACAATCAAAAGGTAAGGCACAACAATAACATGAACTGCAGCAAAGATTGAAAGCAAATAAAACACCCTGTACCTGCCATCCACTGCAGCTGGTGATGTGGTCAGATTATCTTGCATCCTCCTATTCTCTTGGCATCATGTAAGGGCAGCCAAGAGAATGGGGACTGCAGCACACAACCTTCCTCTACTATAAGCAAATTCTCCAGCATTGATTCATTTGTAAAATGTGAACGTCCATGCTAATCCTGCAAACTCTTCAGTCATGGGAGGACCCACAGAAAAGTATGAATTCATTTATAGCTTGGATATACAAGATGCAGTCAACAATGCCCAAAAAAAGTTATGCAACACATAGCTGAACAGTGTAATTTCAAAGTATCTGTCGGTTGGACAAACTGACAAAACTGACTAAACTCTAGTAAAAGGCATGCTGGTTGGTTTCATTTTGTTTTCGCAATCAAAAAAAAAAGTGAACACAATGCTTGTGATAGGTATTAGGTTCCACAAATCTGGACACCAAGTTTTCTTCTCACAATTGCGCAATACTGTGGAGGCTGCACTTGCTTTATTTTCCTGGGATTGTCCGTTACTATTGAAATACGTTCTCCCCAACAAGAATGCCAGATAATTGGCCCTTTGTAACAGAATGCATTGTTAATTCAAAGCAGAATAAATGAAAAACAAGTTTAATCGTTCTTGTAGCAATCTCGTAGTTGAAATTCCCTGCACATATTGCTTACGGTTTGAGTTACTGTGTTCTTGTGCAGTTTTGTAGAAGGCAAATGGCCTTCTTTTGTGCTGCAACCATTCCATGATTCGTTTTTCTATAATTGCACTATCTTTACAGTTTGAGAAACTTCTTAGAGAGAGACAAAGAGACAGCAGAGGAGGAAAGAAAATGCAGGAGTTAAAACAAAAAAAACTGCTATACTCTAACAGATATGACATGCTGAAGCAAAATTCTTAATCCCCTAGCATGGCCCCACACTCATTACGCACATGTAAAAACTCAGATTGGAGGGAAAAAAATTAGGCAGTAATCTAGCCTGTGTTTGGGGCTGCATAGTGGCTCAGTGGTTAGCACTGCTACCTCAACACCAGGGACCTGGGTTCAATTCCATCCTTGGGCGAACTGTCTGTGTGGAGTCTGCATGGATTTCCTATTGGTGCTCCAGTTTCCTCTCCGTCCAAAGATGCGCAGGTTAGGTGGATCAGCCCTGCTAAATTGCCCGTAGTTTACAGGGTGGGAAACGCAGGGATAAAGGTAGGGGGTGGGTCTGGGTGGGATACTATTCAGAGGTACGGTGGACTCGATCGGCCAAAAGGCCTGCTTTCACACTGTAGGGATTCTACGATGACGATGACGATGACGATGATGATATTTCTGAAGTTCCAAAGTCTATATGTATTAGAACAAATTTCATTGGGCTGCTCAGCTTGTCAGTGACACATTTCACTTTTATATAGATTCAAACTTTTCAAGCACTATCGCTAAACAGGATGTCCTCACAAAGTCGGGGCTACATTCCTGAAATTCAGGACTTTAAGAGAAACATGTCTTCCCATTGGAATCTTTGTTGGAGCCAGCGTAGAGTAAAGTTCCAGAGGACAATTTTTGACTGGATTAAAAATAAATGTAAAAAAAGTAGATTTTTTAAACCATTGCTAGCTGAAATAACCTGCAAAACAACAGAAAATTACTGATTATAACAGGAATACTGCACAAATTCAAATTAGGCGACACTTAAATTCACTTAAGGGACTGCACAGTCTTTGAATTCAACTGCAGATGAACCTGTGTGTATGCAGAGTTGTAACTCACCCTGGGTGTGAGCAAGCTCTGGTTACATTTTATTAGCTCCATACAACTAACATATCAAATTGCGAAGTTTCAGAAATTTATAAATATAGCCAGTTTTCAACATCTGTACCCAAGACCTGGCTTTTGAGGAGATGTGCTACATCATGAAATACCACAGTGAATCAGTGTAATTGCCAAGCTGGTGAGGGATGTCACCTCAAACCAGAAGATTGCACATTCAAGTCGTTGAGGTGTACTTATTATAAATTCACTTGAGTGGTTTCCCTGGTTTTCATCAACCACCTCCCTTTTCTCTCCAAAACCCTTGGTGACCCTCCCAGCATTCATGGAGCTCCAAGTTTAGATCACCCTAATCAAGCTTGCACACCTGCCACAGTGCTGAAACGGTTCTTAGCAGAAATACAAATGATATCCTACATGACTGTGACACAGATAAACAATCTCTCCTTATCCTACTCAACCTATTGACATCTTTGACGAGTTCATGCACACCATCGCCCTCCAATGCCTCTTCACAAATCTCCAGCTTGTAGGGGCTGCTTATACCTGGTACCATTCTCAGCAATCCAATCTACAAATAGGCTTTCAATGGCTTCTCTTTCCGCTCTTGAGCCAAGGCTGTGTCCCACAAGGATCTATCCTTGGTCCCCTCCTATTCCTCATCTATGTGCTTTTTCACACATCTTAAAAGAAAGGGTTAGTTTTAATATAGTATAATATTTTTATATTAGTATAATACTTTGAATATAATTGCAGCTCTGTCACCAATATCTTTTAACTTCTTGACCATCTCTAAATTATCAGACTGCTTGTCTGACCGCCAATACTGAAGGAAAAACAATTCTCCCAGTTAAATATTAAGATGAAAATCATTGACTTCCCTATTACAACTTCATGCCCTTCCCATGATCTGTATGATACCAAACCAAATAGTTTGACTTTCATTGAACTTCTAGTTGCGTGTACCATCAACGAGGTTGTGTACATTCAACTCCATAACATTATCTGTCTACACATCTGCCTCAGTTCACCTGTTCCTAAAACTCTCATCCATGTCTTTGTTGTATGTCAACCAGATTATTCCGATGAACTCATCCACATCAAGAAGTTGAGATCATCAAAAATGTTGCCACCAATGTCCTAGATTACACCGTCACATTCAGTGTGCTTGCTGGTCAATACTGGCTGCTAGTAAAACAGCTCTTCCAATTTTAAAATACTTCTCTAGAAACTTCTGAATTGCAGATCACCTCGCTTGGGAAAACACAAATTGATCAGCCTGTATGGAGGCAACCACTGAAATTTGGCTCAAATGTTTAAAGGACCGTCGAATGCCAAACCTGGAAAATCTGATGTATCCAGAGGTGTATAGTTGGAGCTATCAACAATGACAGTATTAATTGCCAGTTCTGGACATCTATGCCAAGAGAATCCAGGGAACACAATAAAATACATACAAACATATCACACTCAAATGACAAAAAGGAATCCACTGTGAGCAATATGCCTCGGACAAAATATCAAAAAAGTTTCCATTGCACCAGCAAGACAATATTTTATTTCCTATCAAACATCCTGTAGTTTTCTTGATCATGATTAGCAAATTCAGAATAATTGTGCTGCAGACATGTTAATAATAGGTTATGACTGCACAAACAAATTTCACAAATATGTTGATATCTTGGTAACATTCAGGAATGATGTATAGATGCACCAACTTATAGCACTTGTATTGTCAGTGGTTACTCACTGTCAAATGGGAAGTAAATTATCTCTTTTCTTTTTTAAATCAAATTTGAACAGACGTTCCTGTTAACTAAAATAAACAAAACTAAGTGACATGAACTTTTTTTGGCTCAGCTTTCAGATTACAAAAGGAATGTGATCTGTGAAACAGAGCATTCTGTTGTTTTAATATTGTATAACTGCCTGATGTTCAGAATGTGGCATTTCATAACTAGGCACAAGCACAAGTTTCCAGAAACACTCCTACTTCCAGAAACTGTCTCAATTTCACAAATATTCTGAGAGAGTTGAATTTGGTGTATTATCCCATCAAAATTCTACAGGTTTTAATACAGTTGAACATAAAACTTTTGTTATTGACAGAACATAGACCAGATTTTCATTGTCTAGTAAACACTCCTGACTGTTAAAACATCAGCAGTATCTAGAGGGCTAAGTTCGGTTCCCATTTCAAACAGCTCAGGTTTTTTTTTGCTGGCACAGCAGTGGATCATATAATATGAATTACAAGGGGAGCAAACTATATGAACTTAATGCAGACTTTATAAACATCCCATTATAGCTGTTGCAAGGACTTAATTAACTGCGAGAATCACAAATTGATGGAGGACATTTAAATTTTCTCCAAAGAGTAAATAAGATCTATACATCATAATCAGAAATAGAACAGGTTGAAATGGTCAGAGAGGCTTTTTTTAAAAAAAGCTTTAGAACTCTGATCAGAGATCAAGAGTAGATTAAAAATAAAACATTACTGTCAGGTCATGCAGTTTCAATGGAGTTCTTTATTGACATATCCTTAAGAGTTAGCATGCCATTATCAATGCTTGGCTGGGTTTCAAAAACTACAATTACATCAGCAGGATTTCAGAGTTCATTGTTTGCGTGACAGTTTAAAAAGAAGT